CTGAGGGAACACTAACAGATGTTAATATTAAAATACTGTGACCACAAAGAGTAAAAAATTTAACATAGAGCTTTTTTTTTTTTTTTTAAACATGGAGCTTTTATATGTATTGGTCCACAATTCCCTGAGGGATGCATGTTTTCTTCACTGCCATGTTCCCAACACCTAGAACACTGCCTGTGCACAATACATGTTTAATACATGTTTGGGGAATGAATTAATAGTTAGGAAATATATTTGTGACTTGGTACTTTTGTATGAGGCTGTTGCCAAATATCTATGAATTGGATTCATTTGTATTTGCAGTTTCTTGAGTAAGTTTTTTATTGTTTGTATATACTGCTAACTACTAAGAGAACAAGTATTAGTACTAAAAGCTGTTAATGTTTTTTTTTTAAAGATAATGTTTTTATTTGTAAGGCTCTTAATATGGAAATAATTTTGTAGAAATGTGAGTTTTTTCATGAAAAAATAAAGGTGGATAACAGTTGGCTTTAAGGCAGATAAATGTTTCTTGACCAGTTGCCTACAGCTGATGAGCTCCAGTAAGAGCGAAACCAATTCTCACTTTACTGAAACAGTATTGAAGTGTGAATTGGTCCTGTAGTACTGTCAGAAACAACTCTGAAAAAAAGTGCTTAAATTGAAAGGAATTTTGTGACTGTTAAGTTTTAAATATAGCATTTTTCCCTAATGAGTAAGAGTTGCTAAAAAGTCAAATAACCTGTGGCTTGTTTTTTTTTTTTAACCTCCAAAAAGGAATAGATGTTGTAATCTATATCATCACTACATCTTCATATGTGAATGTGGATTCCATTTGTAGAAGCACTTATTTAAAACAGTCTTGTAAGCAAGTGTCTAGTTTTATATCCTCTTCCTTTTTTTTTTTTTTTTTTTATCCTCTTCCTTTAAACTACTCTTAGGCTATTGGATCTTCAGTGATTTTGATAACTACCCCCAAAGAAAAAACTTGGACAACAACCAAACTGGCCTACATCTGTATGGCTAACTGGAGGCCTACAAGAGGGCTCAGCTGACTGTTTTGGTTTTTTCCCCCTCTAGTTACCTGGTTAATAGTGCACACAATCAAGCTCATTGTGGTGCCCCTCCTCCCCACCAATTTTTTACACTTAATCTTTGTTGATGGCTTTGTTGCACATGTATACATAGATTTTCCATAATCCATTTCCTTTTCTTTTGTGTCCAATTAGTATTCATTTGAGTTTCAGAAAACTAAGTTTGCAAGCTAAGTGGATACCAGATATCAATTTATGTGAAGATTTTTTTCAAAGTCGGGCGTATTATTGAGCAACAGTATAGAAAGTACTTGTTTTTTGAGGTTGAACAGCTTTCTTTAATTTACAGGAGGATAATATATAAAACAGTTTAAGCTAAGGTTATAAAAACAGGCTTTTTTTTTTAACGTAGACGAATATTCGGAATGAGATAAACTTCTATTGTTTTGCACTGTTTGTACATTGAGTCTCAGATCATTGTATAAACTCCGTGGACCCCACCCTCATTGAGAACTACTGAACACCATTTAACATTTACAAGAATGAATGTAAATGTAGTAGAGCTTATATTTGTTTTGTTATCAGGATCATATTGCTAGAGATTTAAGAGGTTTGTTTAGTTCAAAAGTGATGTTCCTTCTTGCAAGTACGAGATCATTTAAAAAGCTGAAGACTGATCAGAAATGTCACAAGGAAGGCTGTGGCTGTGTGCTTAATGAGTATAAACTCAGTATGTTTTCATTTACATGAGAGTATTTTTGTACTTAAAGTGAGAGTAAATTTGGAGGAAGATGTGGCTTTAAAATTGGACCTTTGAATATAATTTGGCTCTGGATAGACTGAAGAGAATGACATTGTAGATGGGAGCAAAGCCATGGAAATGTTAATGTGTAGATTGGAGGAATCTTGAGTAGACAGCTCAGAGACTGGTAGATTATGGTGAAGGCCTAGGGTTTTAGAAATGTGTTGAGAGATAAGATTGGGAAAGTAGGATGACTGGTTTACTGAGGGATTGCAGCATAAAATGGTTTTAGTTTTTCCTTGTTGGGTCTCTCATCGTACTGTGTAAAATGCTCTCATCCTTTCCACTTCCCTTTGAAGTACAGCCCCCTAATAATGTACTAGTTTGATGTTGTATCTTTCTGCCAGTTTTGATTACTAGAGAAAATTTATTCCAGAAATTAAGACAGGTTTCAATCATTTGAAAAATAAAATAAGCAACACAAAACATTAATCACAGACTCCTTGTTCTACCTGAAGAAAGGTTGAAGGTATTAGCTTCTAGCTGCTTGGATTAAAGAAGAGGTAATTTGGCTCCAAAATATGTCCCTTCTTTTTCCTCTAGCTAGCCCTTTTGGAGTTGGGGGAAGGAGACCACCCAGTGGAGGCAGAATTCTTAATTCAGAAACCTCTAAAAAGGGAAGAGATAGGGCCTCAGTCTGATTCATCTGGTTGCATTTGGTGGTGGTCTCTGTGGAGGTAGTGTGTGGATTTTTTAGGGGCAGTATTGTAGCTTCCTGGTCCCTTCTGCCATCTAGGGCCGGCCTACTTCATAGGGCAGCTGCTATTCCTCTTTGGCAGAGTTATTATAGTATATACTCCAACCCTTTCTCTGGATTGGGTGACACTTGACCTGGTGCTGTCTCAAATCACTTGCCCATTTCATGCAGTGAGATTGAGAAACTAACATTTCAAGTGTTACAGATATGAAGTGATTACATCTGGATTGGGTTGCAGGTAGAGGACAGTGGCAGTAGAAAGGAGGGTATAATTGGAGACATGAAATTGGTAAAAGAATATGAGGACAAAGGAAAGGAAGAAATCATAACCAAGAAAAATGATACCATTGACAAATGGGATTAACTGGGAATGCTCAATTATAGGAGCTATCATTTTGACTTGGATTTTATGCCATTTTGAGTTTGAGGTTATGGTAGAACATCCATTCGAAATGTCTATATTCAGGTGAAGATTTGTTATCTGTAACTCAACACAGGACTGAAAGTAACTAATGTGGGTATCAGTGAAGAGCTGTTCAAATTATCAAAGTGCTTGAATTCTAAGAGGGAAGATAAATGTTGAAGACTGAATTGTGGAGAATATGAAAGCTGGATAAAAGGATAATTCTCGACAATTAGTGCCTTTCTCTTGACAAAGCATGGCACACAGTCTCTAATGATAAAGTTTCTTCTCTATGCTGGAGAGTCATAATACCTTTATGTATTCTCATTTAAATAGATTCTTTATCATTTTGGTCAGTTGCTAACATTTACTGGTTATGTTTAAAACCATTCATTTTTTGATTGATTTCTAAATTAAGATTTCAAATTCAGCAACACATTTACAAGTTATATCTTAAAGTGACTTAGTTTAGGGAGAACTATATAAGTGGCTAATATCCCTATATGAGAATTATTTTACTTTGTTCTAGATTTTGGAATGCAGCATGCTATGAGGCCTTTTATTAATTTGCTGCATTAATTTGTGTTATGTAAACCAAGCCTTTAACACTACTGTGGGCTTCGTCTTATATATAACATGTATGCAGTAAGATAATGATAATTTCTATTTAGTGGTTTGGAAATATGTTAATACAGATGGGTAGTTTGTGGTAGTAGGGCCAAGGTCCATCCTAGCTGATGCCCCAAAGGACAGACTAAACTAAAAATGAGGCGTTTAACAAACTGGTCTGTCTTTCTTAGTATTATTCTTCCCCATTTTTTGCATTCCTAGAATAATGTTCCTCAAGTAACAGTTTTATCACATCACTTCTGTACTTTAATTCAATACTTGAGAATCTACTATGTGCTAGAAACTATAGTATAAAAGTATACAAGTCTATTATGATTTATTGTCATAAAATTCACTCCTGCAAATCAAAGCATTCTACCTGACGGTCTTCTCTCCCCCTCTGACCAGACCAGCATTTCCATCACAGACCGATATAAATGTATATCTTTCTGTTACTCAAAAATTTTATATTTGTTTCTTTTTCATAAGTACATCTTCCATTTGAAATTATTTCTTTTCTAGTTTCAGAACTATGATGTCCCCCCTTTTTTTAATCCAACCTTATGTGACATTGATAACCACCCTACATATGCTTTTTGGTATGTGATGAAAGAAGTTGACGATTGTTTTTCATCAAGATTGCTGGAATATTTTATATTTATCTGTCTTGGGATAATTTTTGGAGTTGGCTAATTTTCAGAAAGTAGCTAAAATAGTAACCTTCATAAACAGCCTAAAAATGTATTAATTTAATTAGTTGTTAAATTAGTTTTGCCAGTATTTCTTTTATGATCTGGGCAGCGTATGTGGGCTCCATTTGAGTTGCCCTGAAAATTATGTATTCTTGATGAGAATGTTTGAAAGTCACCATGGTATTTTCCTAGATTTTTGCCTGGATAAAAAAACCAAATTCCTATCAGGGATCTTTAACGTCCAGACTTCTTTTAGCTCAGCTTCAGGTGCCTGGGCTGATACTTGTGTTTTGTTATTTTCCTTCTCAGTAAATTTTTATTATCATTAATGTGTATTGTTTTATAATCATCCTCTTGTGTGTCCACTGCTGTCGTATTTCCTCAATATTTTCTTATAGATTTTTGAGATAGTCATTTTCCCCTCATGGAGTTAAGGAATTCTAAACAAGTCAATTGAATTCTAACAATTTAAACTCTAGCTATTTCATACCCAACATCTTATGGGGGGTGTTAAGAAATGCCAAATTGTAGCTAAAGTGAAGTTGTATGACTCAAAGGAGAAAGAGTAAGACTTTGTAGCACCCTACTGATTGCAGCACACTCGGATTGACTGTGCTACTCAGGTTTTGGATTTTTCCGTTCTCGAAGTCTTAAAAGAGTTACTAGTGATAAAATTTGTAGTCTTAGTTATTCCACATCATGGAGTTTGTGCAAATACGTATGAGGTCTTGGTTTGAAAAAACTTTAACTTTTTAAAATTTTGATATTTTGACTTTTTTAGATGTCAAACGAAGATCAGGAACAAATTTGAAGAAGTGCAGAGTGAGGTGGTGTCAATCAGCATGTCAGAGACAGAGCACATAGCCTCCATTTCCTCTGATAAAAATATTGGGAAAACATATGAATTAAAGGAAGACTCCAGCAACTCATTTTCTGGTGATGAAAGCAGCTTAGAAAATGAATCTAAACTGTCATCATTAAACTTTGATAAAACTTCATATCAGCCTAATGAACATAATGAAATCGAAGCACAGGAAAATTATATTCAGGATCATAGTGGAGGTGTGGATTCTTGTGCTAAAACAGACATATGCCCAGAAAATTCTGAACAAATAGCCAGTTTTCCTGGTGGAGATTTTACAAAGCAAGTTTTGAAAACAAATGAAACCGAGCAGACAGTAACACAAATATTGGCGGAATTAAGGTCATCTACATTTACAGAAGCAGCAAATCAAAAGACTTACTCAGAAAGTCCCTATGATACAGACTGCACCAAGAAACTTATTTCAAAAATCAAAAATGTTTCAGCATCAGAGGATTTGTTGGAAGAAATAGAATCTGAGCTCTTATCTACAGAGTTTGCAGAACACCGAGTACCAAATGGAATGAATAAGGGAGAACGTGCATTAGTTATGTTTGAAAAGTGTGTGCAAGAGAAGTCTTTACAGCAGGAACACACCATAAAGAAGTAAGTTTTTAATTTTGAGGGTTTTTTTTTTCCCCCTGCCAGGATTAAAGATTGAATTCTTTAAAGGAACGTATCATTTTGTCCATTTTTAATTCCACAATCAATGGACATGTATGTTGTAGTTGATCAACAAATATGTAATTACCAAATAATTCAGCAAATGTCAAGTTTGTCTGATGATTTAATATATGTCTAAATGAATAAATACTAATGTGATTCATTAAAGATCTAGAAGCATTCATAAAGACAACTCATGTTTTTCAGTTTTGAAAGAATATGGAGAATAGTGTCAAAACTATGAGAAATTCAAAAGAAAATGAGAGTCATATAATTCAAAAAGATTTTCTTAAAATTCTCCTTTTAAATTCATTGGTTTTACAAATTAAAATTTAGAGAAGAATTGTTTGGTTATTAGTAATGAGAATGTAGTTACTTCTAGACTTCCCTTGGATTTATAGAGTTAATGATAGTTCAATTTTGTTTCATCTTTTCCTAATGGTATTATAACCTCTACTTTTATTCTAGATTTTTGTATCTAAGTGTTTCAGATGTTTGGGTAGTCTTTTATAACTTTTAAAGGAAAATAAAATGTACTGACCTTCACTATAAAATACAGACTGATTCTCTTTTTTAAAAATGGTATTTAAGAAGAAACTTGGAGTGCGATGTCTGTCCATAGGAAAAGGGGAGGAGAAAGTCTCTATACTAGAGGAGGGTGACAAAAAAATAAACCATAATCCAACTATTGCTAGATATGTAACTGGCTTTTAATGATCTCCTTGCTACTAGTGTTTACTCTTCTAGACTTTCTTTCCTTTTTTTTAAAAAAAAGATTTTATTTATTTATTCTTGAGAGACACAGAGAGAGGCAGAGATAGATGTAGGCAGAGGGAGAAGCAGGCTCCATGCAGGGAGCCTGATGTGGGGCTTGATCCCGGGACTCCAAGATCACTCCCTGAGCCAAAGGCAGATGATCAACTGCTGAGCCACCCAGGTGCCCCTCTTCTAGACTTTCTTGTTCAGTGGATCAGTCTTCCCCAAACCAGCTTAGCCTTCATTGGTTTATCCAGTGAACTTTAATCTCTTAAGTGTCCAGAGCCCTTCTTTTTTTTTTCTATTTTTTGTTTTTATTTTAGATGATAACAAAATACACATAAAATTTACCATCTTGTTTTTAAATGTACTGTTCAGTAGTGTTAGGTTTATTTACATTTTTGTGCAATCTCCACAGCTTTTTCATTTTGCAAACTGAAGCTTCATACCATTCAACTCCCAGTCCCCTGCCTGACAACCACTGTTCTACTTTGTTTCTAAAAGTTTACTCTTGGTACTTTATATAAAGTGGAATCATATAGTATTTGTCTTTTTATAACTGGTTAATTTCACTTAGCAGATGTCCTCAAGGGTCATCCAAGTTGTAGCGCCTGTCAGAAATGCCTTTTTAAGGACAAATAATATTTTATGTATATGCCATATTTTGCTTATTCTCCGTGAGGGGGACGATACCTGAATTGTTTATAGACATTAAGGCATTATAAATATATATATTTTTAACTAAGTCTTTTGTTATGCACAGAATACTTTTAATTCCAAATACAATGCTTTGTGACTCAGGTTAGCTGTAGAACACGCATTTTTTTTTTCTTTTGCCTTCACTTAATATTCTATAAAGAAAACTATCTTTTAGTTTGTTTGGCTTAAATTTTCATGAGTGCATCTATTTCCTAACATCACTATTTACACATCCATTCCTCTATTTTCTTTTTTTTTATTAATTTATTTTTTTATTTTTTGTTTATTTATGATAGTCACACACACACACAGAGAGAGAGAGAGAGAGAGAGAGAGAGAGAGAGAGAGAGGCAAAGACACAGGCAGAGGGAGGAGCAGGCTCCATGCACCGGGAACCCGACGTGGGATTAGATCCCGGGTCTCCAGGATGGCGCCCTGGGCCAAAGGCAAGCGCTAAACCGCTGCGCCACCCAGGGATCCCCCCATTCCTCTATTTTCTAACATCAGTGTGTTGTCCAAGGTCCCAACCAGAATTCTTAATTAAGAATGGTTAGTTGTGCATCGGATGTGACAGTTTGAGGGTTCGCTGTTCTTCCACTTCTGCCTTCCTAGATTGCTTACTTGTAAACTACAGCCAGGATCCTTCGCTTCAGGTAGTTTTCTGCAACAGCTTGAGTGTACACCAAATCAAATAAATAATCTAAGTTAAACCACTGTGCCAAAAAGGCTTGAAGAAACTTGCATGGTATGTTTTTCTCCTTCCCAAGTAATTGCATGATTTGCTTTCTTGCTGTGGTCCTGTGCTCCTCAGAGAGGCCCACCCGGACTACCTTATCTACATTCACTGCCTAAGGGCGCCTGAGGAGCTCAGTCAGGTGAGCGTCTGACCCTAGGCTGCACTGGTGATCTCAGGGTGGTGATAGCCTGTTATCCAGCTCTGAGCTCAGTGGGAAGTCTGCTGGAGATTCTCTGCCTCTGCCCTCCTCTGCCCTGCCGCCGCATCATGTGCAGTCTCTCTCTCTCTCTCAAATAAATACATCTTAAAAAAATAAAATCACTGCTCAAGTCGCTCTCTGTCCTCTTGCCCTTTACTTTTTTTTCTTTTTTACTTAATAGGACATGATCACTGCCTGACATTTTATTATATTGTGTTTATTTTCATTTTCTCCCTTTGAATATAACCACCATGAGGGCAGGGATGGTTTGCTAACATAACTTTTAGCACAGTGAAGAATATAGATACATAGTAGGTACCCAATAAGCATTTGTCCAGTGAATGAGCATCTTCGAAGAAGGGAAAGGCCTAGACTATGGAATTAGACCTGGGTCCAAATCTCACTTCAGCCACTTAGTAGCTGTGTGACCTGGAACAAGTGCTGGGCTTCAGGTTTTTTGCTTTTTTTATTTCTTAAAATTCATAAAATAGATAATTTCACAGGCTTCGTAATTTCATAAACCTGAATATTAAGTGAAATTATGCACTTAAGGATAAACCTAGTGAATAGTAATTGTGCAATAAGTATTAAGTAATAGTTATTGCTATTAATAATTCAAAAATACTAGTTGTTAACTTCTTGAGGTATCTTATGTCAAAGTCCTGAATACTGCACAGGTAACTTTTAAGACTTTATTTATATTTTTCTAGGGGACTCAAAATGAAATTTCTGCTTGAACTTTTATATTTTTTAATTTTATTTCAGTGTCTCTTGTAACTATCATTAGAACATCGTTGAAATATTCTTAAAATCTAAATAAAGCAAGATTTTTCACCCTCAGCATTATTGACATTTAGGAGATCACTCTTTGGTGGTGGGGGGTGCTGTACTGTGTATTATAAAATGTTTAGCAGCTTCCCTGACCTCCACCCAAAAGAATCTAGTAGCAATCCCCCCACCTCTGTTGTGACAACCAAAAATGTTTCCAGGCAAATGCCTGGAAGGACTTTGCCTCAGGTTGAGAACCACTGACCTGGAGGAATTCAAATACAGAAGGGATGAAGTAAATAGCTGAGATACCCAAAGTGGTAAACTTAAAAGAATGTGGTTTTCTTTATCTGATTATATTTCAATTGATTTGAAATATGCAAATTTCTGCAAGAAGTTAATAGCCTGACCACCAGAGAATGTTCTATAAAATACAATGTCTCATTACAAAAGGATTACTTAGGAATGTTGATATATTAATCATAAGTATATCTAATCTGCAAACACTGTATTTCACATCTCCATTTTTAATTGTGTTTTACTTATACTGCTGTTTTTGTATTTAGGTTAATTAAAGAAAATAAGAAGCATCAGGAGCTCATCTTAGACATTTGTTCAGAAAAAGACAATTTAAGAGAAGAACTAAAAAAAAGAACAGAAACAGAGAAGCAGCATATGAGCACAATTAAGCAGGTAAAAAGGCAAAAAAATCTTTAAACACTATACTTCAATTTGTAAAATAAATACCTTCTTGAAAAATCTATGTATAAATTGAAATTCTGTAAGCTAAATTGTATTTTAAATTCAGAGGATTGTTTGGTATATAAAGCATTCTTTTTTTTGAAATGGGAATCATCTGATTTTTTTCTCGTGTAAAAATTTGTATTTTTATAGGATATGTGTGAGTGTATTCTATATGTAATAGAAATCTGAGGAAGAAAAGATTTGATTTGGCAAATAGACTTTCCACTACTTAAAGAAGAAGCAATATATACCTTATATATTATATATATATATATCCAGCATTAGAATATTTTTAAGCTTATAGTTTAAGATGATTCCATTCTCAGTGTTATTGTGTACTATACTGGAAAACTGGCTCTCTTTCAGAATTTTATCTGGCTAGCTAGCTTCTCCAGTTTGTCTTTCCTCTTTTTCTTTCCTTTTTAAATTTTTAAAAAATGAATTCTGATGTATGGATCAACAAAGTGAATATTCAGACTTGTGGCAAAGCTGAGCTGCTCTTTATCTTACTGAGCTGCTTTTTTTCTTCTGTAGACAGGATTAGAAGCATTTTAACCTTAAAGTCTTTCCTTTTTTCTCATCCATCACCAAAAACTATATAATGAAAAAAAAAAAACAATAAACAATTGATAATAAAAAAATTAAACCAAGTTTTACTTGCTTATGTCTTGGTATATTTAATGTACCATTACATAGTTGGAAGGTGATAGTATTTATAAATTTTACTTGCTTAATCCTGACTTTTATGTACTTTAGAGCTATAACATAGTAAAAACAAATTTAAAACTTTAAAGTGTAAGGGAGGCTTACAAATGGACAGAAGCCAGCTTTTAGTAGGCAGGTCACTGCTGATGATCAGAAACTAAAGACCAAAAATAGGGGAGAGAACTCAAACTGTTCTTTTCATGAGCTTGTTAGTGGTTGTGCCTTTTTATTTTTTTTTTAATTTTTTTTTTTTTATTTATTTATGACAGTCACAGAGAGAGAGAGAGAGGCAGAGACACAGGCAGAGGGAGAAGCAGGCTCCATGCACCGGGAGCCTGATGTGGGATTCGATCCCGGGTCTCCAGGATCGCGCCCTGGGCCAAAGACCGGCGCTAAACCACTGCGCCACCCAGGGATCCCTGGTTGTGCCTTTTTAAAGGAGAAAATTGGATTCTAGTTTCTTTTGCTAGCCAATATAGCAGGATTCTTTTTTCTTAGATTAATCTCTAGATCTTCACCTTTCAATATGGCAGCCACTAGCCACATATAGCTATTGAGTACTTGAAAGGTGGCTAGTCCAAATTAAATACTTTAAGTATGAAATACACAATTAATTTTGTGGACTTAGTATAAAAAAAGTAAAATATCTCAATTTCTAAAGTAAATTGATTATGTGTCAAAGTGTTAATATTTTGGATATATTAAGTTTAATATTAATTTCACGTTTTGCTTCTTAAAATGTGTCTACTAGAAAATATAAATTACACATGTGGCTTGAATTGGACACTGTCACTCTAGGTAATTTTGTCATAAGGGAAATTATACACATGTTCTATGAGCTAACATTTTATTTATTTTTTTAAGAGATTTTATTTACTTATTCATGAGAGACACAGAGAAAAAGAGAGGCAGAGACACAGGCAGAGGGAGAAACAGGCTTCATGCCGGGAGCCCGATGTGGGACTCGATCCCAGTACTCCAGGATCATGCCCTGAGCCGAAGGCAGACACTAAACTGCTGAGCCAACCAGGGATCCCAATATAAGCTAACACTTAGGGTTTTTTCAGCAGCTTTATTGAGATATAATTTACATACATTGCAGTTCACCCATTTCAAGTATACAGCTTAATGGTTTTTAGTAGTACAACCTTCACCACAATTTTAGAATATTTATCAACTACCCCCAAAGAAACCCCATATCCATTGGTAGTCCTTAGGATTTTCTGTATATAAGATCATGTCATCTGCAAATAGAGAGTTTTACTTATCCTTTCCAAGTGCCTTTTATTTCATTTCTTACCTAATTGTCTGGCCTGGACCCTCCAATATGGGGTTGAATAAAAGTGGCAAGAATGGTTATCTTGTTCTTGTTCTTGATCTTAGGGAGAAAGCATTTAACTTGTCACCATTAAGTATAATACTAGCTGTGCTAGCATTCACAGATGCTCTTTATCAGGTTGAAGAAGTACATTTTTTTTTAAAGATTTATTTATTCATTCAGAGAGAGCGAAGAGAGAGGCAGAGACACAGGCAGAGGGAGAAGCAGGCTCCATGCAGGAAGCCCAATGTGGGACTCGATCCTGGGTCTCCAGGATCACACCCCAGGCTGCAGGCGGTGCTAGACCGCTGTGCCACTGGGGCTGCCCAAGAAGTACATTTTTGTTCCTACTTTGCTTAGTGTTTTTATTATGAAAGAGTGCTGAATTTTATCAAATGCTTTTTCTGCATTTATCGAGGTGATCATATGTTTTTGTTCTGTTGATATACATTACATTAATTGGTTTCTGGATGTTAAGCCAGCCTTGCATTGCTAGAATAAATAGCTTTGGGTCATGGTATATGATTCTTTTTATATATTTCAGGATTGGTTTGCTAGTGCTGTAATTTCCATTGATTGAGAATTTGTCTATATTCGGAAGAGATACTGGTCTTAGAGTTCTTTTTCTTGTGATTTTCTTGGTCTTAGTGTCAGGGTAATACTGAAGTCATAAAATGAGTTGAGAAGTGTTTATTTTGGGGGGAAGTTTGTGAAGAATTGATAATTCAGGGCATCTGGCTGGCTCAGTCTGAGGGGACTGTGTGACTCTTGATCTTAGGGTCATGAGTTTGATTGAGCCCCATGTTGGGAATAGAGATTACTTAAAAATAAAGTCTTAAAAAAAAAATAGGTATTCTTTAAATGCATGGTAGAATTTATCTGTCCAATCTCCTGGGCTTAAATATTTCTTGGTAGGTTTTGTTGTTTATTATTATTTTTTTACTAATTAAATCTATTTATAGTTCTCCTCAGATTCTCTCTTCTTGAGCCAGTTTTGGTAGTTAGTGCCTTTCTAGGAATTGTCCTTTTATTTCATCCAAGTTAAATTGGTCATAGTATTCATTTATACTGTTTTTATTTCTATAAGGTTAGTGTGTCTCTTTTTTATTTCCATTCTAGTAATCTGAGTCTTTCTCCCACACCCCCTTTTTTGCCTAAAGGTTTGTCAATTTTGTCAATCTTTTCAAAGAACCGTTTTGTTGAATTTTCTGTTTATTTTCTATTTAATTTTCATTCTAATATTTATTATTTTCTTCCTCTTGCTGGCTTTAGGTTTAGTTTGCTTCTCTTTTTCCAGTGCCTTAAGATGAAAGTTTGGTTATTGACTTGAGAGATTTCTTTTTTTTTTTTTTAATATAGTTATAGCTGTAAATTTCCCTCCAAGCACTGCTTTAGGTATATCCCCTAAGTTGTGTATGTTGTGTCTCTGTATTCCTAATTTCCTCATATTTTCTAATTTTCCTTGTGATTTTTCCCATTGTTTATTGAAGTGTTGTTTAATTTTAACGTATTTGTGAAAATCTGAGATTTCTTGCTGTTACTAATTCTAGTTTCATTTCATTATAGTTTAAGAACATATTTTATAAGATTTCAATCTTTTAAGTTTATTGAGGTTTATTTTATGACCTGGCATATATGTTCAGTCCTAGAGAATATTCCATGTCCACTTGATGAGCATATATATTCTCCTATTGTTGGATGGAATGTATAGATGTGTTAGATCCAGTTGTTTTATAGTTTTGCTCAAGTCACCTGTTTCTGTCTGGTTCTGTCCGTTATTAAAAGTAAGGTATTGAAGTCTCCCAACTATGAATTGCCTCCTTCATTTCTATCAGTTTTTGGTTCATGTATTTTTGTGCTATGTTATTAGGTACATATATACTTAGAATTATTATTGATTGACTATTTAATCATTATAAAATCTCTCTCTCTCTCTTTCTGGTAACATTTTTTTTTTTTTTTGTAGTTTATTTTGTATATTAGTATAGCCACTCCTATTTTCTTATGGTTATTTGCTTGCTGGATCTTTTTCCATTCCTTTTCTTTCAGTCTATATCTTTGAATCTAAAGCATGTCTTACAGATCGTGTCTTGTTGGATTGTGTTTTTAATTATATCTGATAATCTCTGTGTTTTGATATAGTTAATATAATCTCATTTAATGCTGTTATTGACAGTAGATTTATGTCTGCCATTTTTTTTTAAGATTTTATTTATTCATGAGAGACAGAGAGAGAGAGAGAGAGGCAGAGACATAGGCAGAGAGAGAAGCAGGCTCCTCACAGGGAGCCCAATGTGGGACTTGATCCTGGGACTCCAAGGATCTGAGCTGAAGGCAGACCCTGAACCGCTGAGCCATCCAGGCATCCCATATGTCTGCCATTTTTTCCATATGTCTCATGTCTTTTTGTTCCCCTATTCCTCTCTTACTGCTTTCTTTTGCATTATGTAAATATCTAACATTTAAATTTCTTTCATTAAAAAAATAAATAAATTTCTTTCATATTTTCAGTATATTTTTTGAGTTATTTACCTGGTGATTGTTCTAGAGCTTGCCACATACATCTTACCAGAAACTGCATCAGCTTTATACCTTAATTCTAATAAGATTTAGAAGTGGGACACCTGGGTGGCTCAGCGGTTGAGCGTCTGCTTTCAGCCTAGAGCATGATCCTGGGTCCAGAGATCGAGTCCCACATCAGGGTCCCTGTGAGGAGCCTGCTTCTCCCTCTTCTTATGTCTCTGCCTCTGTGTCTCTCATGAATAAATAAATAAAATCTTAAAAAAAAAAAAGATTTAGAAACATTGCTAACATTTACTTTTGATTTCTGTTTGAAGTATATTCATTACATTCTTTATGTTCCCTTTCATTGTTTATGTTTATTTAAAGTGTTGGTAGTCTCTTTGGTATAGCTATAAAAATAATCTGGAAATAATTTTCTTTACAGTTAGAATCAAGAATAGAGGAACTTAGTAAAGAAGTTAAAACTTCCAAAGAAAAACTAGTAGCTCAAGACATTGCAGCTAAAAATGCAGTTCAGCAGTTGCATAAAGAGATGGCCCATCGAATGGAACAGGTATTTTTCAAATCATTATCATTATTAGCTTTATATTCTGGTGACTTTTTCTTGTTTATTATAAACTAATCTGTTAAACTATTTTGGGTATCAGTAGTATCTAAAGAATGGGTAATTTTAAAAAAATGCTAAAGCAACACATAAATATATGCTAACCACAAAAATATTTTTTTAATAAATTGAGGAAGTATATAGAACAAAAAGTGAAAATCCTCCTTCATTTGTACTTCTCTCTTCCTGTGCCCAAATCCTTGGTATCCCATTCCTTGTTCCAAGGTTAACTGTTGATATTTTGGTTATGTATCTTATCATGTATACATGTATAAGGCACAGAAGCTTATGTGTATGTATTCATAAACATATTCTTCCTACTTAATTAGAATCTTACTGTGCATCTTGTTGGATTTTTTTTCCTACTTGGTATACCTTGATCATCTCCTTGAGTGGTATATATAGATTTCAGAAGAGAGCATTTAAGCATTGTTTTTGTATTACTACCTGAGCTCTTTTCTTTTTTTTTTTTTTTTTTAAGATTTATTTATTTATTTAAGAGAGCATATGTGAGGACATGAGTATGGGGCTGGGCAGAGGGGAGTGCAGAGGGAGAAATGGACTCCCAGCTAAGCAGAGAGCCAGAGGCAGCAGGGCTTGATCCCAGGACCCTGAGATCATGACCTGAGACTAAGGCAGATGCCCAACCTACTGAGCCACTGGGTGGCCCTGAACTCCTTCTCAAGTATGGAATCTTACTTATAGTCAACTTCACTTCCTAGCATAGTGCCTGACTCTTGGTTGTTATGATGAATTGAATCAGGAAGTATTAACTGACTATATAGGTAGAATGAATTTGAACCTTATACTTGTAAGAGGGTAGATTTACAAATTCTCAGGTAATTTACAGCATGTTTCCTCCTGCCATATCCTCATGGCCTGGTATTGGGAAATGTCTACAGGGCAGTTCAAGCTCAACATACCGCTCTGGATTCCTGCTTCCCCTTAGCTTCTTTGGCCCTGGGGAGTTTCTCATACTTTCTTGAGAACTTACCTGTTTATTAAAAGGATGTTTGTGGGGCACCTGGATGGCTCAGTCTGTTGAGCATCCAACTCTTGGTTTCAGCTCAGGTTGTGGTCTCAGGGATATGAGATTGTGGGATGAAGCCCCAAGGGGGCTCCAGGCTCAGTGGGGAGTCTACTCTCCCTCTCTATCTGCCCCTCCCCTCTCTTTATGCTTGCTTGCTCTCCCAAATAAAGAAACCTTTAAAAAATAAAAGGATATCTGTTGCATTTCATCTAAATATTTTGGATTTTGGATGGGGATCATTTTTCTGCCATGTTTCAAAAAGCAGTACTTCTTATGTTTTAATTTTAGCAGGCTGTTGTATTTTTTTTAAGATTTTTATTTATTCATGAAAAACACCAGAGAGAGAGAGAGAGAGAGAGAGAGAGAGAGAGAGAGGCAGAAACCTAGGCAGAGGTTAGAGGCAGGCTCCTCGCAGGTAGCCTGATGTGGGACTCCTGCCCCTGGGATCACGCCCTGTGCTGAAGCCAGACGCTCTGTCGCTGAGCACCCAGGTGTCCCAGACTGTTGTATCTTGATTATCTTATTCATGCTTTCTTTATGTTCATCCAAGTCAATGATAAACATCTTAAACTGGTCAAATGCAAAGACTTACTGGCTTTTCTTCCTTTATCTATGCCATAAATGGACTTTCTAGGGAAGCTTAAGTAGTAATTACTATATTACTGTATAGTAATACTATACTATATTATCTTGTTTAATACTCCCAGCAGTTCTGGGAAGCAAGTGCTGCCATGGTCTGAGTTGAGACCTAGAAACATGAACTTTAAGCACCCCAGGTTATTCCTTTGCAGCTGATCCACGGATGACTGGGTAACAGGACATCCCTGCTATAGTCAAAAACCTTACAGTTTTGGGCAGCCCCAGTGGCTTAGCAGTTTAGCGCTGCCTTCAGCCCAGGGCGTGATCCTTGGAGACCCAGGATTGAGTCCCACATCAGGCTCCCTGTATGGAGCCTGCTTCTCCCTCTGCCTGTGTCTCTGCTTTTCTCTCTCTCTGTGTGTCTCTCATGAATGAATAAAATCTAAAAAAAAAAAAAAAAAAGAAAAAAGAAAAAGAACCTTACAGTGTTTAACTTTATCTACTTTGTCTCTTTTCTGGTTTTTCCACTTCTCATCTCTCAAGTTCAGTGAAGCTTCCATCCTGCCATCAGTTAGTTATCTTACTTAAACATACGTTTAATAAAAGGTTCTGATGTATAAATCTTTTGGCTTCCCATTGCCTGTAGGATAAAATCTCACCTCATAAGCGTGATAAGAGAAGCCCTTCTTCCTTTGAAGATTTAATCTCTACCAGTCTATTTCATAACTACTTCCTCCCCAGTCCAACCAGCATGTCAAATTTAAATCCTATAAAATGTCTTGATAGCCTCCAAAAAATCATGCTATTTTATACCCTTAGGCATTTGCACATTTCTTTATATATTGTATGTATATATGTTAAGGTAATGTATAAATGTTTTAATATGTTGTTCATACTAGGTAGTGAGCTCTTCTGGGACAGAAGCCACAACTTTTTGTATTTCTAAAAGCCAATATGTTGTCTGAGGACTAACTTATGAAACCAGACTTCTTTTGAAGTGAACGTTACCATTAATTGCCTTTTCTAAGAACAGTTGTTCAGTTATCTAAAAGTATAGCTAATTCAGTTAACCAATTCCAGTACAATTTTCTCAGTCCTTGTCCACAATTACATTGTGAAATCCTCAGGGATCTCTGATATTCCTATTCTAGTGATTCCCTTAATTTCTCTTGAAAATTAGCAGGCTGTTTCAGTGGGGGGAAAAAATCCCAATTGGCAATTTTAAAAAGTGTTTGTATAGTATTCTGAGAGTCTATCAGATGTACCAGAACTTCATGAAACATTCTTAGTCAATTTTCATCAGAGCATGAGAGCTTTTCCTACATTCTCTTAACATTATACATCTTCAATTCAGTTATAGTATCAGTTGGCATTTACCACTAGATACCACTGAAAATCCCTAAAATTTAAGGTTCCATCTTTTATAACATGAATATGTGCCGCATCATATTTGCAAATTGTGAATTTAAATTTACTTAAATAAAAGGCTATCTGTAAAAGTTTAATTGCATGAAACTTCAGAATATGGAGTACCAGCTTATATTAATAGAGAATTTTGAGGCCATATAGATTGTCACACTTAGTCCAGTTAGGTATTTTTTAAGTAAAATATTTTTTCTTTTTTAAGGATTTTACTTATTTATTTGAGAGAGAGGGTGAGCGTGTGGGGAGAGGCAGAGGGAGAGGGAGAAGCAGACTCCCCTACTGAGCAGGGAGCCCAATGCAGGCTTGATCTTAGGACCCTGAGATTATGACCTGAGCCAAACACAGCTGCTTAACCGACTGGGCCACCCAAGCACCCAATGAAGTGAAATACTTTAGAAACCTTTTCATATACAGAAAATCAAATGATTAATTAGCTTTCATATGATTGCTTTTTGCAAGAACTTGATCCTGAACTTGATCCTGAACTTGATCCCAGGACTCTGGGATCACAACCTGAGCCACCCAAGTGCCCCTTGAGAAACCATTAAAACTCTTCAAGCTAAAGGAATGAGAAGAGGGAACCAGTAGTGCGGTTCAGAGGAGCTAATTATATAATGAGGGCACCTGATGTGAGCAGTGGCCTTCAGCCAACCTGTGGTGATTGGAGAAGCCAGATGTCACTCTGCCTGTACTTGTGGTCTGCCAAGTGCCTCCTGTTGGTGGCCGAATCTAACTGGAAGTTCTGGGCAAGGAAACTTGATATAGTCCATGATAGTCATTTCCCCAAAGCACAGGGTGGGATAGGATAGAGTGGAAAAGTAGATCTGGAGGAGTAAACAAAGTGGCAATTATGTAAGCCAAAGTAGAAGAAATAGGAAAGCATAAAAGCAAATACTAGTGATACTAATTTGTTTACTGTATCATTTTTCTCTAATTTTGAATATTTCCTTTCATTTAAAAATTTCCTGATACAGGTCCTGGGGATGTTGTGCAAAACAAACAAAACAAAACAAAAAAAACCCAGAAAATACATTGGTAACATTATAGGAAATATTTATTTTGATTTTGACTTAAAAAAAATTTATTAATGCTGGATATTTTTTCAAAGGCCAACAAAAAATGTGAAGAGGCACGCCAGGAAAAAGAAGCAATGGTAATGAAGTATGTAAGAGGTGAGAAGGAATCTTTAGACCTTCGAAAGGAAAAAGAGATACTTGAAAGGAAACTCAGAGATGCGAATAAAGAGTCTGAGAAAAACACTAACAAAATTAAGCAGCTTTCTCAGGAGAAAGGACGGTTGCACCAGCTATATGAGACCAAGGTATAATTTGTGCTATTGTACTATAGTTGAAATTCATTCCTTTTTCTTTTCCTTATCGTATCAAACAATCATAATTAATGCGGTTAAAGTCACTATTAAGCATAAAATTGTTTTTGTTAGTTTACCTTCTAAGAACATTAATGCTTTAAAAGTCTTAGTATCTCATTACCTGTCTGCAAAAAAAGTCTTTGCTAGGAAAAAAAAAAAAGATATCGACACATGTTGTTTATTAAATAACTTTTTCCTGATATTTTCTTAAACCTTTTAATATCTGTACTTTGAAGAAATGAGTTTCTGGTTCAAAAGAACATTTTATTTTGGCAAAATACATGCATAGTGGGATCAAGATGTGAATAGTTTCTCAGCCAGAACTATGTAATTTGACTAGAATCTTAATGTAATACTTATTTGTTATAGGATAGAACATACATTTTTCTTGTAGAAAAACATGTTCTTTTTAGATGCTGCCCAAAGAAATTTAATTACTGAGCTATTCAGAGTCCTTGGTGTTAACTAGCAGCCTCTTAGCATGGTCTTATTTCTAGCCCATTATCATTTCTTGGTAATGAATGTTATTTTTTCATTAACTTTTAGTTCAGGAATGTTTTCATTGTTCTCAGGAATTCTGGAAGATTTTAATTTGTATTTCGTCTTAATACCAGCCAGTTGAGAAGAATCATACTTAATGCTTGCTTGCAACATATCTAGTTGGCTGAAATATAAATGTTAATCATCTTATGTCTGTTAATTTGATTTAAGATTTTGGTCCTCTCTTTCATTTGAACTTTGAATTAGGTTTATGTATGTTATAATATACTAAACCCTGAAATATTGTGTTATTGAATTGATTATTTTGAGGAGGTATGAAAGATACATAAATAACTACTTGATTGTTCAGATGAAAAAATATGACCTAGTATTACTGTTTTAGGAAAGTGAAACTACTAGACTCACCAGAGAAATTGACAAACTAAAGGAAGATATCAATTCTCATGTCATTAAAGTAAAATGGGCACAAAACAAATTAAAAGCAGAAATGGATTCACACAAGGTAAGTACTATATACTGCAGTGGAAAAATTATTAGATTCAGTTTTAAAAGCAAATACAGGGGAACCTGGGTAGGTCACTTGCATGAGTGACTCTTGGCTTTAGCTCAGGCCATAATATCAGGGTCATGTGATTGAATCCTCCATTGGGCTCTGCACTTAATGCAAGGTCTGCTTAGGGCTCTCTCCCTCTCTCTCTCTCTCTCTCTGCCCCTCCCCACTGCACGTGCATGTGTGCTCTTGCTCTCTAAAATAAATAAAAAATAAGTCTTTTTAAAAAGAGAGCAAATGAAGTAATAGTTAATGAGACATAAAGCTTAATTTTGTGACTTCTGTGGGATAGGTTGGGCCTGAATATTTGATGAATGTGAGAAGATATTTCCTTGTGTGATTTACATATTAAATTAGAATGCTAAATTTTATCATGAATTTTAAAAAATATTGAATCTTATCATTCATTGCTAACAACTCCAAAATTGATTTTGTTGTTCAAGGATAATTTTGGTAGCTATATTTGATATTATACATTGTCAGAAATTTAGGGGGAGAAGCATAGTCTGTATGTTATCAAAATTGAAAGTAAACTCTGGAAATTAAAAAAAAAAACCCAGTGATACTAAGATTCTTATAATCAAGAAATATAAATTCTTATTTAAATAAGAGTGTAATAAAGATCTTAAGAGTTTCCATATCTATTTGTTACGATATAATTCCATTGATATTATGCCTAATGAATATCATTTTTTTAAAAAAAATTAATGAAAAGTGATCATAAAGGCTGGTACCTGATGCCATAATTTTAAGCACTAACTGTACTGGTATAAGAGTTATAAAAATCTGGATATGATAGAATGTGAAGTAAAATAACAACTCTGAAATACTTAAATAGAAAAGCAATGTTATTTATAACAGATTCCAGGTTTTCAAAAATAGACTTGTTAGTCTTTAAAACCATAATCATAAGTTATCTCATTAAATAATTCTAAGTTAGTAGAATAACCTTTGGATATTTACATATATTATCAGAGAAAACTGTAGGGAGAGGTGTCTGTGTTGACAGTGGTCAAAGAATAGAGACTAGCAGCTCTCCTCAAGTTCTGGGCTGTTGATCTGCACCCAAGTGTTAGGGAGCCACACATTTAGAGAAGGAATTGCCAGAAGGGAATACGAGCAAAAATCTTTGCAGTTCACATAGGGCTATAAATCGTTTAAAATTTCCTGTTACTTTCAGTTACAGAATGAAGAATTAAAATTCCAAATCCTAGATCATGGTAATGATTTCTGAACTGCCTGAGTTGCTTCAGGATCTGACCATAATACTGGGTCATAACTAATGTCTGTGGTACTTTTCTGCTCATCATCTATAGTCCTAAGAGACAGGAGCCTGAAACCTATTTGCTAGCACTGGAGAGTGAAAGACTAATACTTGGTCTTCTGTGACCACATGTATTAAAAAATATGGGTGATAATAGATATTTAATGGCAGTTTTGAGGTCAGATGAAACTGGATACTCTAAGTAGGTTAGAGAAATGGTTTAAGGCTGAGATACTAAAGTTACATGGTTTGGATTGCTAGAAAATGAAAATAACAAGTATTTTGTCCTAGTATGTGAAAATTAGAAATTTACCAGTTATTTTTTTTCTTTACATTTATTTTTGTAAAGGTTTATTTGTTCATTCATGGCAGACAAACAGAGAGAAGCAGAGATACAGGTAGAGGGAGAAGCAGACTCCCCATGGGGAGCCTGATGCAGGACTCAATCCCAGGACTCTGGGATCACGACCTGAGCCAAAGGCAGATGCTCAACCACTGAGCCACCCAGGCGTCTCTTTTCTTTACATTTTTAAAAAGATTTATTTATTTATTTGAGAGAGAAAGTGTGTGCACACTTGTGGCAGGGAAGGGCAGAGGGGGAGAGGGAGTTGGGAAGGACAACTGTACTTCTCAAGCCAACTCCACACCAAGTGTGGAGCCCAACATGGGGCTTGATTCCAGGAAACTTGAGATCATGATCTGAGCTGAAATCAAGAGTTGGCTGTTTAATCAACTGAACCACTCAAGCACCCCTTTACCAGTTCTTTTTAAAGACATTTTTTAACCAGCAAGCATTTCGGCTTTCCTCTGTGCACAGCATTGTATTAAATAGGTTATATATAGTGAATAGTAGGGGTCTTGATTGCTCTCAGAGAGTATCTGGGATGAGTTCCTGGTGACCAGTTATATGTATTTACCTAGTTGATGTGAGGAAGAGTATCTGGATCAAAGGGTACAAGATTTAGTGAGTATCCACACAGTGTTGGCCACCTGCAAAAATGTGGACAAGAGCTAGGACTCTTGCAAGTTTTTCTCCAGGTACCCTTTCCAACTTCTAGTCCCTGCGCACCTAGTCCTAGGCATTAATACTAAAGTTCTGGAAGGTAGTGGATTCATTGTGAACATTAGCTTCTGATCAGGACTCCAGGCCTGATTTCCAGAATTTAAGTCTCAGACTCAGTAGATTGGATTGCTCCATCATCAGTAGAATTATCAATTGGACCAAACAATAGGAACAATTTCATTTATTCCCTTTCCTAAACTCCCTCAGTAGTTAAACTAAAATGTGTTTTTAACACATAGCCTCTAAAAACAAGACTATTGAGTGTAGTAAAGGACTTCCCCCACAGTGTAAACCTTATATACTTGTTGACCAATCTGGTTGCTACCTTTAGGTCTCAGGATAAAATAATCTCACTGGGAGCATAGATGTGGCCAGTAACGGATGTGGCAGTAGACTGTGGTTTGACTCTGCTGGGTGCTTGCCAGTCATTTTTGCTTCAGAGAAAGCTTGAGAAATAGGGTCTTGGGTATCAAGGCAGCATCTAGACAAGTAGGAAGTAAGAGACTGTAATACACTGCAGACCTAATGTGCAACTAGGGGTTGGTATATTTTATGATGTATTCCTTCAACAAGACTCTGCTACTTACTATCTATGCTTTTCTTCAAAAGTTATCACATTGTCAACAATAACCTCATTCTTAAATGGTTTACTCATAAAGCCCACTGATTAGAAGCTAGAGCTCACTTTTAATTAGCTTTGCTGTTATCTCACTTAGTAAAACTATATGTTCAGTTCAATAACTCTTCCATAACTATAGTCTCTTGTATTATGGAGTAACAAGGTCCAGGTTTACCCTCCCATCTTAAAAATTAAAAAAAAAAAAGACAAAATGTATAAAATGAAGGTTTTTAGGCTTGGGCAACAAAGGCAGGACAGGACAGTGATCTCTGAGAATGGGAAAATAAGCAAGATGTAATGCCTGCAGTTTCCAGATTGCAGCAAAAGAAGAGGACCCCAGCCAGATCCCAGTAGTCTCCAGGAATTGAGGAGACAAACTGAAGTATAGAAAATATGGCAGAGTACCAGAGAAGAGAAAGGTTTGGAGATCTGCAATGTGTTCCCCTCAGCTCTTCATTCGGCTCACTACTCACTGATGAGTGTATGTGTGTGAGAAAGATAGAGGTGGAGAAAGGACTATCAGAAAGGAGTAGGCGCAGCAGTTCCTGGGGCTCCCAGAGGGCTAATGGAAATCGTTCATGTTTCCTCCAGCCAAGAGGAGCCATCTTAACATACAGGGCATCCAGTGGTCCTCAGAAGGGTGTTACTTCAGTGAGACTCCAGTCTGTTATGGACCCATTTACAAAGCTTTGAAAGAAAGCCTCCAATCAAATTGTTTCAATAACCATGTCCCAGAAGAAAGCCAAAATATTCAAGTGAGTTAAAGAATCTCCAGGATTTAAGAACATAAAATTCACAATGTTTAGTATCTAATAAAAAATTAAGAGACAGGCAGAGAAGGAGGAAAATATAGCCTATAATGAGATGAAAAGAAAAATCAGTTGATAAAAACAAAGCCAGAAATAACACAGATGAAAAAAGTAGGTAAAGATGTTAAAACAGCTATTATAAAAATATACTCCATATGTTCAAGAAGATGAGTGAAAGTGGGAATATGTTAAGGAGAAACATAAAAGATTTTTAAAAGGCCAAATTGATAGAATGTTTGAAATGAAAAATACATTGTATAGAATTAACAGAAGATTAGATGTTCTAGAAGACAAGATTAGTGAACTTGAAAAACATGAAACTTTAAAAACATATGAAAATATAGCATAAAAAATTATGCTAGGGATACCTAGATTTATAACTTATACACAGAATTCCAGATTCATATATTCACTTGGCTACTTGACATCTGACATCTTGGATGACTTACAGGCATCTTCAACTGAGCATATCTAAAACAGAATAGAAAATGTGCTGGCCCTCCATTACTCCTCCATCTCAAGAAATCGCAATTCATCCTTTTAGTTGCCCTGGCCAGAAATCTTAGGTTTATCCTTGATAAACCTATGGTTCTCAGTCACCATATCCAGTCCCTTAGCAAATCTTGCTCACTTCTTTCAGGTCTTTATTATCTGTCACCTCTCAGTGACACTTTCCCTGGCTCTCTAAATTTGCATACCTCCCCTCAAACCCCCACCCCCGTGTGTCCTAACTTTATTTTGACTCCTTAACATTTGTCATTATCTAATATAACATATTTTTACTTAGATATTATATGTATTATCTGTGATCATCACTAGAATATCAGCTTTGAGAGTAGAGATATATTTTTTTAAGATTTTATTTATTTATTCACAAGAGACTCAAAAAGAGGGACAGAGACATAGAGGGAGAAGCAGGCTCCCTGCGGGGAACCAGATGTGGAACTCGATCCCAGGATTCTGGGATCATGCCCTGAGCCAAAGGCAGACAGACACTCAGCCACTGAGCCACCCAGGCATCCCGAGAGTAGAGATTTTATCTGTCTTCTTACAGTAATATTTCTTCAAAGCTTTGAACAGTGCCTGACATGGCAGGTGCTCAGGGAATAAATGAAACATAGTCCCTTAACCAAAACTTTTCTTTTATTTGGTTATTTACTTAATATATATTTAGCATTATGGGAATCTCTCAGTTGCTATTTTTTTAATGAATAGAGTGAATACCTACTGTGTACCAAGCTGTTTCAGTTATTGATGCCCTAAAAGATTTGGGGCACCTATGTGGTTCAGTCAGTTAAGTGTCTGTCTTCAGCTCAGGTCATGGTCTCAAGGTCCTAGATCAAGTATTGGCATCCCTGCTCATCAGGGAGTCTGCTTCTCCCTTTCCCATTGCCCCTCCCCCTGCTTGTGTGCACTCTCTGTCTCAAATAAATAAATAAAGTTTTTTTTTTATTTAAGATTTTATTTTTTTTTTGTTAATGAGAGACACAGAAAGAGAGGCAGAGATGTGTAGGCAGAGGGTAAAGCAGGCTCTTCACAGGGAGCCTGATGCAGGACTCCATCCCTGGACCCCAGGATCACCCCCTCAGCCAAAGGCGGATGCTCAAACACTGAGCCACCCAGGCGTCCCAAATAAATAAAATCCTTTTTTTTTTTTTAAAGATTTTATTTATTTATTCATGAGAGATACACAGAGCAGCAGAGACGCAGGCAGAGGGAGAAAAGCAGGCTTCCTGCAAGGAGCCTGATGTGGAACTCGATCCCAGGACTCTGGGATCACACCCTGAGCCAGAGGCAGATGCTCAACCACTGAGCCACCCAGGCGTCCCTAAACAAAATCTTTAAACAAAAAACAAATCAAGTTCTTATTTAAAAACCAGCAGCTAGATATATATAGCTAAGTACTTAATTATATGATAGAGTTATCCAAAAATGACGTAAAAGAAGTAGTGTGTGAAGATAGATGCAATTTAGATGGTTCAAAAGATGAAGAGAAACATTTCAAGTGGAGGAATAGCAAGAAAAAAGGAAAAACAGGAGATGAGTATTTCATATTTAGGAAAACAAGCCTTCTTAGAGGGGATGTTTATATTAGTGATTCCTTCATAGATTCAGCAAATATTATGTGAATAATTAACATATGGCAAGTGCTAAGCTAAGTATTGTTCAGAAACTATGTTCTCAATGGGGGAAACACGTAAGCTACAGACAAAGTATTAGTTGTTATGATCCAGGAATGCCCTGGACTCTGCCTATAGGAAAGCAAGATAGTAGCTTCTGCCCTTTTCTGAAAGGCAGCTACTAGGAGAAGATACCTAAACCCTCATTTCAAATCCAAATAATAGCCCAGGCCATGGGACTGGATAGGTCTGAAGAACTTTGGAAAAAGAGCTACAGAACAGGGCTTTATCTGGAGAATTGCCACAGGAAACAGGAAGCCAATTGAGACAGAGAAGACAACAGTGGAAAGGGGAAAAACAGTAGTATGTTGTCTTGTAATAGGAACAGAGGAAGGCTATCCAGAGAGTCCCGAGTGGTCAGAACTGGAGCAAGTAAGTCAAGAATAGAAAATGAGAGAAAGTCATTGGATTTGATGAGAGAATAGTCACTGCAAACCTTTAGAATTGCTATTTTAGGAGTGTGGTTAGGAACAGAAACAAAATTGTAGCATGGATCTATAAGACAGTTTTGAATAGATACCATGGCCATAAAACAAAGAATTATCTTTTATGTGTGTACAAAGAGCTGTTTAACACTTTCTTCCTCTTGTCTTACCAGGTTAATGACTTGCAGTGATTTACTGAAAACTATCAAATTTAACTTTATTTAATGGCTATGAATTAACTGCACAGGCTACTTTGGTTTTTTGTCAGAGCTTGAAGTGTTATTTCTAGAATAGTATCCAACCACTCAGTGGCAGTACCAAGGTTACTCTGGTCATTGTTCTTACCATTTATCACATTATTGAGACCAGTCATGTCACTGTCTGTGAAGGAAAAACTGTTCTCCTCAAGTGTAGGAAAGAACCCAGTTCTTCTTACTGTGTTTCATCCCTGTAAGTCTAGTTTATTTTTACGCAGAACACTTCACCTCTGACACTTCTGGTCATCAGATGTGTGCAGGTTTTCCCCCACGACAAGTAATTCTCTGCAATACCACCTACAGTTTCACTCGACTCTGACGTACCTACCTGGAGATAGCATCGAATCCCACAGATTAAGGGCTCAGTCCTATAAGAATGCCCCTTGTTCTGCACCACACACACACACATTACAGATGCCAGCCACAAGCCCAGGTGTGCTTGTGACCAACCAGCTATAGATCAGAAGTTCCAGGGATCCCCTCCTTGGGTTTGAAGGATTTGCTTAAAGAACTCAGGGAAACAATGTTTATCATGTTATTAAAGGATATGATAAAGGATACAGACGAACAGCCAAATGAAGAAATATATAGGGCGAGGTCTAGGTGGGTCCCAGGTGTAGGAGCCTCTGTCCCCATCGAGTTGGGGTGCATCACCCTCTCAATGTGGTTATACTTGACAGCCTGGAAGCTCTCTTAAGCCCCATTTGGGATTTTATGGAAGATTCGTTATGAAGGCATGATCAATCAACTCCATCTTCTGGCCTTCTTTGGGGACTGAAAATTCAAGACTGCTAATCATGACTTGGTCTTTTGGTGACCAGCTCTCATCCAGGAGTTCACCCAGAGTCGCCTCATTAGAAGAAAAGATACTCCTGTCACTTGGGAAATTACAAGAGTTTCAAGAGCTCTGTGTCAGGAATAGAGGTCAAAATCGGTATTGCAACCAGAGATGCTCCTAGTGTTCTTGTGACTTAGAAAATTACAAGAGTTTTAGGAGTTTTGTGTCAGGGACCAGGGGCAGAAACTAATATATATTTTTCTTTATCTCACACTATCTTTTTGTCAATGCAGGAAACCAAAGATAAACTCAAAGAAACAACAACAAAGCTAACTCAAGCAAAAGAAGAAGCTGATCAGATACGGAAAAACTGTCAGGACATGATAAAAACATATCAGGTATGCTTAACTTTTCAAACAGATTAGTAGCAAAATTACACCAAATGTCAGTACCCTTGCTTCATTAATATTTTGTATCTGTAACATTTGAAGCATGGAATGGATTTGGTAGGGCAGTTAAATAAATTACAGGTTATTTTCTGTGTTAAAGAACATGGAGCTTAACTAAAGACCTTAGTAGAGAAATTAACTAAATAAAAACACTAGAAAGTGTCAGAAGAATAAAGAGTACAAGGAACTCTGTATTATGTTGCATATCTTAAGTACTATTCTTGTTCATGCAGAATTGACATATTTAAGATCTTTCAATGCAGTCATTTTTAGATATCTAAGGTTTGCATTTCACAATCTGTAAAGTTAACTGCAAAAGCCTACACTTTCCAAAGTATAAAACTTTAAAAATTCAGTCATACTTTTTTCATTTCCTTTACATTAGGAGTCAGAAGAAATTAAATCAAATGAGCTCGATGCCAAGCTTAGAGTCACAAAAGGAGAACTGGAGAAACAAATGCAAGAAAAGTCTGACCAGCTAGAGGTGAGTGGCTCTGGCCTTTTCATTACCCTGGATTGGGTAATAAATTGAGGAGGAGAGAAGGGATGAATACTGTCTCCCATTTTAAAGGCCCTTTCGAAGGAACAGGCAATCAACTTTAGGTCTTTTTTTAGTACATAATGATTTGTGGTTTCTTTTAAACTTTTTAAAAGATGCATCATGCCAAAATAAAAGAACTGGAAGATCTGAAGAGGACATTTAAGGAGGGCATGGATGAACTTCGAACACTGAGAACAAAGGTGAGGAAATCTATAGTCAGGATTTCAAAGGAAGGGTAAATAGCTTCAATTTTGGACTCCTGATTTTTTTAAGTGTTGGGGAAACACTTTCATTCCAAAATGAAAGAACTCAGAGGAGTAGAATATCGATTTTCTAGCAATAAAATGGACTCTTATTGAAATGAAAATGTCTTCTACTTTGGTCCCTTTGAAGTATTTGCCAAAAGTTCCTGTTTTATAGCACATTTGCTGTTTCTGTCACTTATCCTTGGGCCTCTCATGTAAGACAGTTGTATCAGCAAAATAATTGGAAAGATAGTTGGACACTAGAACTGAGTGACAGAAGTTAATGGATTTTATATTTCTCCTGTATAGTCTTGTACAGTTTTAATTTCTAACAATCTAGTATAGTCTTCATTGTAAAAATAGTATCCCTTTTAATATGAATGTGAAATATCATTGTATATCATTCATTTATTTAGAAATAGGCTTTTAAGTAGCCACCTTGACTTTGCCATCATTTAACAATTTTCAAAGTGTCCTTCATGTGCCCTTCCATTTGTTCTCTGTGACAGTTCTTTGAGGTAGGTGGGGAAAGTATATCCTGTTGGCAGGTTAAGAAATGGAGATTTAGCCAAAACAACATGACATGCTAAAAGTCCCGTGACTAAATCATGAGAAATCTGAGACTGAACCCCGGCATTCTTATCATCCCATTATGTTTTCTTCACATTAATTAATTCTGCTCCAGAATTTAATTTAGGTGTTTGTTTTGTTTTGTTTTGAGCAAGAGAGAGAATGCATGTGTGAGCTCATAAGTGGTGGAGGAGGAGCAGGGGGAGAGGGAGAATCTTAAGCAGGTTTCCTGTATAGTAGTGTGGAGCCTGATTGGGGGTCGACCCCATGACTCTGAGATCATGACCTAAGCCAAAATCAGGAGTCAGGTGCTTAACCGACTGTACCACCCATGTGCTCCTAGCTTGAATTATTAATATATAATCACTATATGAAATAATTAAGGAACAAGTAAATTTTGTTTTTAGTCTAACTTGGTTATGATTTTTGATAGGTGAAATGTCTAGAAGATGAACGATTAAGAACAGAAGATGAGTTATCAAAATATAAGGAAATTATTAATCGACAAAAAGCTGAAATTCAGAATTTATTGGACAAAGTAAAAATTGTGGATCAGATACAGGAGCAGCATCAAAGGTATAAACCGAGCAACTTCTGTTTATGCTAATCAATAGGCTTTTTAATTCTATCTCAAGATTCTGTTATTAAATGTAATTATTGCATTAAACAGGAATAATTTTACTAGCTAAAAAATTTTAAATTTCTATCTTCATTTGAACTTTTTTGGCTTTATGGCTTCTAAAAATCCAAGTTTATATTCTCTAAATATTGGAATTAGCAATTTGCAAAACACAATGGTTTTTTCTTAATCCATTCTTTAATATTCAAATTATGCTACTTAAAGTACTTCTTCTAAAAGGTATATATAGATATAGATAATCTGTATCTTTGCATATATTGTAGAGCAAAGCAGGAGCTGACGTTATTCCTTGGCTTTTTGTAAAACCATTTAGCTAAACTCTACCATGATATCACCTGGCAAAGCCTGGATTCAGCTTGAATCCTTCTTTTTCATACTGTACCAATGTTTGCTGCTCAGTATTGCTAAAAATCTCACCATCATCCAGGTTGGTGCTGTGATAAATCCATGGTTAGCAGCCTCAACTGGAAATGTTAATGACCTCTAATCCATCCATATGTCCTTAGTCACAGCCTCTCCAGAACCTTGAAGCATCTATTTCACATCCTCCTGCTTTGTTTTCACTTCTGGTCTCCCTCCCCTTGCTATTTACTCTTTGCAGGTGATTACCTCTTATTTACTTGAGAAGAAACGGGAGCTGCAGGTATCTATTCTTCATAACCTTTTTCTGTCTGTTCTATGAACTTGCAACCATTCTTTTTTCTCTTCTTTCTTTTTTATAAGGAATATTCCTGTTCCCCTCTGAACTGAATTGTTCTCTCTACTTCTGTGGATCCTATGCTCGTCTGCCTTCTCAGGGTCTTTCTGGATTATTTCTTCTTTATCCTTTATCTCTTACCTCTCTCTACTTAACTTTTTGTTTTTTCTACATATCAATATTAAAAACGTCAAAACTCCTATAACATTACCTCACCTTTTTCCTGTCCTTCACAACCAAACATCCTTGTAGAATCATCTAAACTCTTCCCCCTTGCCTTCTCTTCCTTTCTCCTTCTATCCCTCTCCACTGCAGTCTAGCTTCTATGCCAGCATCCCATTAAAAACTGCTAATACCTCTTAAATCTAACAGTCACTTCTCAGACTAAGCCTTTCTTGGATTTTCAGTATTAAAACCATTAAGCACATTGTCTTTCTTGACATGCTTTGTCCCTGTGACTTCATTTCCTATCATGCTTTCCTGGTGTTCCTCCCCATTTTCTGGCTACTCCTTTTCTCAGTCTCCTTGGCAGCCTTCTCTTTATCATAAAACTCTTTTGTTATTATTTTATGATACTCCTGAGTGATGCTAACTATTTCTGTAGTATGCTGCAGGACCTCATGTCATTATCTTCAGCCCTTTTCGCTCAGCCCCAGTCACACAGGTGTCAAAGCACCTTTTTCTTTAACATGTCCCATACTGATTCATCCTACCCATATACTCCTTTGATGTTCCTCAGATGAGTGGTGAGTATAGCATCTACATGATTTTCCATCCCAGGAACCTGGGCGTCCTCCTTGGTGTTCCTCTTTTCCATCACATATCTAACCACTCACAGAGTATTATTGATGCTAACTCTTCAGGATCTTTCAAGTCCATTTATTTTTCACACTCCCACCACTGCCAACATTGTCCTTTCATCTGGAAAACTGCCACAATTTCTAAACTGGTTTTGTTTTGTTTTGTTTTTTACTTCCCTTGTTGTCCATTTCCTACACTATCGGTTAGCATAATCTTTTTCAAAAGGAAATCTCAAAACTTTTCAGTGATTTCCCATTGCCTCAGGGACTAGCCAGTAAGTTCAGATGCCACAGGATGGCTTGGAAGATCTTAGTGATCTTGCTTCTCCCTCTGTGCCTTCTCTTTTCACACTCTTGGGTTTCAGCAGTAGTTATTTACAAATGTGGATGGATTGTCTCCTATGTGCATGCGCTGTGTTAGGTGCTGGGGATGTAGTGCTGTCCTGATTGTCATCAGTGTTGAACATGTGTTCGTTAGTACCAAGAAAGTCATTCTCATTCCCTTCCCAGATCTAGCACGTACTGTTTCTTCTACCTGGAACATATTTTGTTGTCCCACTCACTCCTACTTTTCTTCAGATCAGGAAGTAGCAAACTGTGGCCCAGGAGCCAAATCCAGCCCACACTGCCTTTTTCTGTAAATAATTTTTTTTGGGACACAGCTCTCTCATTCCTTCGTGAATTATCTATGGCTGCTTTCACACTGCAGCAGCAGGGTTGAGCAGTTGCCACAAAGACCATATGCCATAGAAACTTAAATCGTTTACCATCTGGGCCTTTCACCAGAAAAATTTGCTAACCCCTACTTTAAGTATTAGTTTAAACATCACTTATACTAGTTAGGCAATCCGCTCTGTGCTTTCATCATCAAAAATGTTTCACCACATGTGTAATTTCCTTAGTGACTTGAAAACTCTGAAAGCAGGGCCTGTGTCAGTCTTACATATTCACGCTTGAAGCTCTTAGTTCCTAGCATATGTTAGGTAGTTCCACAAATCCAAATAAATAATTTGAATAAAAGTACCTTTATAAAGTATTTTATTTGATGAGAATCCAAAACCACTAATTTACTGTCTTTTATTTAATAGTTTATTTTTTTCTTAAATATAAACTTTGTTTTTTAGAGGTAAACAAGAAATTGAAAATTTGAAAGAAGAAGTGGAAAGTCTTAATTCTTTGATTAATGACCTACAAAAAGACATCGAAGGCAGTAGGAAAAGAGAATCTGAGTTACTACTATTTACAGAAAAGCTCACTAGTAAGAATGCACAACTCCAATCTGAATCAAATTCTTTGCAGTCACAATTTGATAAGCTTTCCTGTAGTGAAAGTCAGTTACAAAGCCAGTGTGAACAAATGAAACAGACAAATACTAATCTGGTAAGTATACATTTATATTTAATTTTTTTAAAATTTTTTTTAAAGTTTTTTTTTTATTTTTTTATTTATTTATGATAGTCACACACAGAGAGAGAGAGAGGCAGAGACACAGGCAGAGGGAGAAGCAGGCTCCATGCACCGGATGCCCGACGTGGGATTCGATCCCGGGTCTCCAGGATCGCGCCCTGGGCCAAAGGCAGGCGCTAAACCGCTGCGCCACCCAGGGATCCCTTAATTTTTTTTTAAATTTATTTATTTATGACAGTCACAGAGAGAGAGAGAGAGGAAGAGACACAGGCAGAAGGAGAAGCAGGCTCCATGCACCGGGAGCCCGACATGGGACTCGATCCCGGGTCTCCAGGATCGCGCCCTGGGCCAAAGGCAGGCGCCAAACCGCTGCGCCACCCAGGGATCCCTATATTTAATTTTTAAAGCAACATATGAAGCACAAGTTAAATTTTCCTATTAGTATAAATGTACTGGTAGTTAAGTTGAGCTCTCTTTTTTATTGGCCTGATTTTCTGGTAATTTCAAATGCTGTGAGAAGTGTCAGTTTTTCCTTCCAACTTGCTTAAAATGTCCTTTTTCCCTTCCTATTTATATAATTTGTAGTAAAATATCTTCCTAAAATGCTTATGAAAAAATATTTCACTTTTAAAAGAAAACCATGGTCTTTGTCATTCGTTTTTTTTTTTAATTTGTTATTTATTTATTAATTTATTTTGGGTGGGGGGGTTGTCATTCCTAACTGGAATTACTGTGTGTATGTGTATTTTTAAGATTTCTTTATTTGAGAGGGGGGTGGCGGGAAGAGGGAAAGAATCTCAAGCAGACTCTCACTGTGTGGTGCCTGACATGAGGCTTCATCTCATGACCCTGATATCATGACCTCAGCCTAAATCAAGAGTTGGGCACTCAACTGACGGAGCCACCCAGATACCCCTGGAATTACTATATATTTTTAAAAGTATTTCAAATTTCTGTATTTTTATAGTTTAAAAGTGGTTTAATATTTCTACATTATGAGAGTGTCTTCAAGTTACTCATAAAAAATGATTTGAGATTTCAGTTCAAAATATACAGAGCCCTCTGACAGACTGTGTTGCATGTATAAAATGGCAGATGCATTAATATGCCCCCCTTCATTCCTATACAAGGAATTTGAGGAACACAGGAAACAAAACCTGGTAAGGAGCAATTCTAGAAGAATGTACCATCAAGGACCTTGTATTTTCAGGTTTCAAACTGTGAACAATAATGGAAACAAACAGGTATTAAAATTGGTGGGTTTTTTTTGTTTTATTTAGGAAAGTAGATTGTTGAAAGAGGAAGAACTGCGAAAAGAGGAGGTCCAGACCCTGCAGGCAGAACTCACTTGTAGACAAACAGAAGTTAAAGCATTGAGTACCCAGGTTGAAGAACTAAAAGATGAATTAGTGACTCAAAGACGTAAACATGCCTCCAGTGTCAAAGATCTTACCAAACAACTCCAGCAAGGTATAAAATTCTTTCCCACCTAGACCTTAACGTGGCATTCTTTTATTCATTAAGGATTTATAGAAAAAATACATTTTACATCAGATTGTACCACACTGATTTGTTCCGTATGTTCTTTTTAATGTATTAAAGTTTATAAAGCAAATCACTAAACCTCTTGTAGTTCCATGGATAGTCCATAACATCTTCTATGCTAAAGGACATTTATTCACAGAATCCCAAAATGTGAGAGTAGGGAATATACTTGAGGGCAGTAGTGTCTAAACTTTTTTGATCACTTACCCCAATCAGTAAAAAGTATTTGTTTGTTCTGATTTATATATGTTTATAAATTTTAAACATATATTACTCTACATTAAAGAAAAATAGAAATATGAAAAGATCAGATGAAATGTAAGTACAAATGGAAGTTCTAATATTTTCTCCGTATACATGCTATGAGTTATTTTGTACAGCATCTGGGATTCTTGCACCCCACTTTGTAGACCTCTTAGAGATCATTGAGCCCTAACCCTTCATCTTTTTGTTTTGTTTTGTTTATTTATTTGAGAGAGATAGTGAGATACAGTGGAGCAGGAAGGAGTAGCAGAGGGATAAGCAGACCTCCCACTGAGCAGGGAGCCTGGCACGGGCTCAGTCCCAGAACCCTTGGGTCATGATCTGATCCAAAAGCAGACACTTAACCAACTAAGCCACCCAGGCTCCTCTAACCGTTCGTCTTATAGGAAACTGAGACCCAGACAGGTTACATGTACCTGTATATTTCTAGATATTATTTTATATGAATGACAACTATAGTCCTCCTGTCTAAAGTATGCATTCCATAAATTTCTCTTATATTTAACCCATTTTTGCCAAAATGATTTTAACAATTAAAAATCAGAGATAGTGGGGCAAATGATTGCATGGTAATTGTCACAAGTAGTTTGTTTCTTTTTCCTGTAGCACGAAGAAAATTAGATCAGATTGAGAATGGAAGCTATGATAAAGAAGTTAGCAGCATGGGGAGTCGTTCTAGTTCATCAGGTAAAAAAACCTCGTTTCAGTTATCTAGTGACGGTAAAAAAAAAAAAGTTCCTTTTTATGTGTTAAAAAGTGTTGATAAGCTTTTTTTTTTCCATTTTGAGTTATAAAAGGTATTATTTCTAGTTAAATAAGTTTTTATTATTACCCAGGGTTTCATGTTTGTCATGGGTTCTGGATGATTTGTCTCCCTACCCTATTATCTTACCTGCTTCTTTATTCTATATGACAATTTCTTCTTCCATGTTTAAATTCAGATTTATATCAATCCATATAGAGATTTATTATAATATGGTCCTTTTTTTTTTACTTTTATATTACTTTTAGTACCTGAAAACTAATGAAATGGTCATCATTGTATATCAAGATTCTTTATGTATACATGCATTTTTAAACCTTTTAGTTTTTCCCATGGTAAAAAAGCCTGTGGTCTAAAGTGAAAATGAATAGAGCCCATAAAATTATGATTGATATCACTGTGGTAATGCTAATTAGAAAAATATCAGTGTATTTATCATTTTGGAATGCCAGGAACCATGCTGAGAACTTTAAACATATTATTTACTCTTCAGAATAGTCTTGCGTGGTATTAAAATTCACATTTTAGTGATGAGGAAATGCATGATTCCATGACTTGCCCCAAATCTACAGTGATAGAACTCTCAGACTCGAGTCCTTGCATGCCATGACACTACACTCCCTCCCAGGAATTGCACATTAGGGGAAAAACATCAACTATTACAGTAGTGGAAGATCCCACAGTAGGAAGAACATGGGTTGAAATTACATATAGGTATTTAGAACCCAGGTCTGTCATTTATTAGTGTGTGACTTTGGATAAGGGTATATTTATTACTTGTCATAAGTCTACAAAATGGTATTAAAAAAAGACTTATTTGTAGGATAAAGACAATCAGAAATTTTTCTCAACTAATGTTGATTAAAATAATAGCTGACATTTACTGAGTGCTTACTTATATGCATATTGACATATATTAACTCATTTAAATGAGGATAACAATCCTGTGGGGTAAATAATGATATTATTCTTATTTTAAGAATAAGTAATCAAGGTGCAGAGAGGTAAATAACTTGTCTAGCATCACGGAGCAAGAAAGCAGAGGATAGGATTTGAACCTTAGGAGACTAGCTTCAGAGCTTAACCCGCTGGCTATATTCTGTCTCTTCTGTCTGTCTGTCTATGGCTCTCAGTTTCACTTCACACTTGTTATTCTGACGTTTTGTTGAGTTTCTTGTTTCTCTATTGCCATTTCCTCATCCTGTTCCTGAGAGACATAAATTGGCCCTTTTTGGTACTTCTGTCATTCATGTATTCAGAAATAAGAACTCAGGCCAGGTATGACTTGTGTTATCTGCCCGAGTCTGTTAGATTGAGTATTTGGAAGTCATACTAGAAGAAAAAATAGGTAAGATTAGAGATGACTCTAGGCTGAGTATAACATCTAAACTGATTTCTTTGTCTTCAGGGTCCCTCAATGCTCGAAGTGGTACAGAAGATCGATCTCCAGAAAATACTGGCTCATCGGTAGCTGTGGATAACTTTCCAGAAGTGGACAAGGCCATGTTGATTGAGAGGATAGTAAGGCTGCAGAAAGCACATGCCCGGAAAAATGAAAAGATAGAATTTATGGAGGATCATATCAAACAATTGGTGGAAGAAATTAGGAAAAAAACGAAGTATGTATTAGTATGATAATACAATCTGTATTCGAAATACCATTATTTATATGATAAAGTTACTGTTTTAAAAGTCAGTCATATCAAGAACCCATCTTTCAAGAACTAATTCTTAATTTTAGCCATTCAGTGCCCAGTCTTTTATTGATCACTTACTATGTTCTAGGTTGTGGGAATACAGAGATGGAAGAAAACACAGGTCTTTAAGATGATCTAGAGTTAAATAGATGTTAATTTTTTTAAGAGACTAAAATAACTTTGGATTTAATAAAAGTGCTGTACTTAGCTTTTGGTTTTCATGACTGTGGCTTTAAGAGAGAGATGGGGTTGTAGATTTTCTTTCCTGTTGGGGAGGACATACTGGGTAGTTTTGGGGGCACCTGCCAAGTACCAAGATTTTGTGCCTGTGACTTAACAAAATTTCATTGGTTTCTTACAACTCAGGGATAAATAAATTAACTGGTGGTGGTCAGGTCAAACTACAAAATGTTCCAGAGTCACCAGTAATCCAGTAAGTGACAGAACAAGAGCTGGGGACCTGGGCCCAGCTCTGACTCCAGAGGCTGTGCTGTGCAAAATCCCTCTTAAAAATACCATATTATTTTAAGAGGTTTTTAAAATATATTGCAGCTCTTTACCTATGACTTTTTAATTTTTATTTTGAAATAATTTTAGACTTAGAAAAAGTTGGCCCATGATTTTTAAAAGAAAAAGAAGAGGTGTCTGGGTGGCTCAGTTAAGGGTCTGCCTTCGGCTAAGGTCATGATCTCAGGAGTCTGGGATCGAGCTCCGAGTCCAGCTCCCTACACAGTGGGAAGTCTGCTTCTCCTTCTCCCTTTGGCCCTCCCCACTGCTTGTGCACACGCTCTGTCCCTCTCTTAAATAAATAAAATCTTTTTTAAAAAGACACCATCTGTTCAGCCCCGGTGGCCCAGCGGTTTAGCGCCACCTGCAGCCCAGGGTGTGATCCTGGAGACCCAGGATCGAGTCCCACATCGGGCTCCCTGCACGGAGTCTGCTTTTCCCTCTGCGCCTCTCTCTCTCTCTCTCTCTCTCTCTCTCTCTCTCTCTCTTTCTCTCTCTCTCTCTCTGTCATGAATAAATAAATAAAATCTTAAAAAAAAAGACACCATCTGAATAAGAAAAGTTATTTTTGGACATATTACTGTTCCTAACCTAATAGATACTTGTTTTATGCTAATCGTCTTCATGCTTAGGATTAGTTGGCTTTTGTAAATTTTAATGTTTTTAATTCTGCAAGCGTATAACTGACAGTGTCATTTTATTTTGCAGAATAATTCAGAGTTACATTTTACGGGAAGAATCAGGCACACTTTCTTCAGAGGCATCTGATTTTAACAAAGTCCATTTAAGTAGACGGGGTGGCATTATGGCATCTTTATATACATCCCATCCAGCTGATAGTGGATTAACATTGGACCTCTCTTTGGAGATCAACAGAAAATTACAAGCTGTTTTGGAGGATACATTACTAAAAAACATTACTTTGAAGGTATTTGTATTTCTCATTTACTTACCAACCAATAAGTAAGTATGGCTTAATGGTGCCTCTTTCATAGTGTGTGCTGGCATATAAATGGATGAGTTCTGTAATGCAAAGTAGCCGTTTTACCTGGAGATAAAATTTTTGTGTATTTCGTATCGAAAAATACAATTTTTTTAACAAGGAAAGGAAAAAAGAGCAAAAAATCAGCTTAGCTATTGGACAGTTGTTTACTTTGTATTGTGTGGCCTTTGACTTACGTTCTAATTAGTTAAAATTGATCACTGAGACAGTTTTAAAAAATTGAGGCGTTCATATTCTAATGTATTTTCCAACTTTCTTTTTGCAGCTTTTATCTGACCCAGCTATTCTGTTTGTTCTGTGTTTGGGTCTTGATAGTAAATAAAATTGTAAATCTAGTAGCAAACCAATGCAGCAAAATTTGCTGTAGCTTCAGTAAAAAGGTCCTGAAATTCACAGAACTTCTTTACTGAAAACCACCATGTACCTCGTTTATGTCACAAAGCATTGAAGACTAATCTTCACCCTCTCAGTGTCAAAATTTAAGCAGAAACTGTTTGAACTCAATTTATATACTTATGATACTTAATAGTTCTGTTTTCTTTCCCCCTTTTACTAATTGGTAAAGGAAAATCTGCAGACACTTGGAACAGAAATAGAACGTCTCATTAAACACCAGCATGAACTAGAACAGAGGTCGAAGAAAACCTAACACAGAGCTCTTGGTCATTAAACAGACAAAAGCCACACAAAAGGAGCAGGTGCCACATGCCCAGTATTGGAAACTTCTCCCTGCTTTGTGTGTCAGCCAGTAAAAAATTGTTTTCCTTCATCTGTATAAAAAAGTATCCTTTTACAACACAAATGCATTGCTGTGTATACTGTAAGAGTATAAACTTTGATGAAATTTGTTTTTGTATAGTGACAACCTGTCACTGAATCAGAACAACTGAAATTGCTAATAGTCCTTTGAAGTGCTGAACATTACTACAAGGGCTTTTCAAAATCCCTTTTCCATATTTTTCCTTCTAAAATATATAATGTCAAAAATGATTCAGCTTTTTAAAATTACGCATGAAAGGACATGTGTTAATCATTCAGTAATATGCTATTTCTCCAACAGGAAGAAAACTAAAGTGAGGAAAATTTTATTTGACATTCAGAATAACATTTGGTTGCATTTTAGGGATGCCAAATGAGTCCTCAAATCTTTTAATTTTAATGGAAGCTAATAGAAAAGTCAGCTCTTGGTAGCTCGCAGTGGTCAGATATTGCATGCCTCTGTCAGGTTTCCTTATCTGTGTTAGTTACATTTTTTCAGATTCAAACTGTTTGAGTTAATAGTTGAGTTTTTAAAATTTTTAGTTACATAAAATATGATTTTAAATAACATGTTTATTTAGAAGATGTGGAATTCAGTTGTATTTAAAAATGTAAAATAGATTAGTCATTAGAGAGGCAAATAATTCTTTGAAACTGAAATGCTTTCGTTTTACTGACATCAACTGTAAAGATAAATGTTTAAGATATTTATGAAGAAGCAATTCCCAAGAGAATCCAGCATATGGCTCTGTTAACCATTTAATTTGAATACCATTCTTTAGCATTGACATAATTATATATTCCAGTGGAGTGATCTTACAGTCCCCAAATGTGATGTGTTTCAGTATATTTATTTAAAATACAAAATAATTACATCTCTATAACCAAAGGAATCTTAGAACCAAATTAATGTATCCTGTTGGATTTTTACAATATTTATCTAAGATGTGCACTTAAATGTTGCCATAGTATCAGTATTTCCACATCGTTGAATTTTGTTCCTTCCTCTTGTAATTTTTCACTTATCATTTCTGTGTGTGGTTTTTCATATTTCATTATATTCAGATCATTTCTCTAATAGAATACCTTGGCCGATATGCAGATGTTGTCACAAGCGTCATTTTTGTTTTGGATTTTTGCATCCTTTTTTCTTCCCTTCAGAGAAGTAAGCTTTGGGATGATGAATTAAAAAACTGTAGAGAATTGTATGGCTCTAAAAGCTGGGCTCATGGTGGCAATGTCCCAGTAATGTGTTCTAACATTTTTTTTAATCAGCATTCTTTAAAAAGATAATCTACTAATTTTTTCCTGAGGATTCAATGTAGCATCTTATTTTTTCTGTATATCGAGTTATGTCTTGCCATCCAAAACCAAAATCTTTTAAAAATGGAAATATAAGTTCAAAAAACTCTTTTTAAATAACTTTAACAAGTGTTAGTCTTATCATAATGTGTGGTGTTCTTTTTACCAATAACAATTTATCAAAATAAAGTAAGAGGGTAAGTGCAATCAAATCTGGATTACTTTCCCATTTTCTAGACATACTATTGATCATCCTAAAGACTACTTAGAGTAGCCAGCATAACTAAATTTCATGGCTACTTCTGTGATGGAGATTTGTACACTACAATATTTGTTTTTTCCTCCAACACACAAAATATATGAATGGAGACCAAATAATGATCAGATCTGTAGTGTCCTATGTTTGTTTATACACTTTAAAAAATATGTACATTTACTATATACAAAAGTGAAACATTCCAATATTAACATTTGTGCAACCATTCATTTGGAGTAGTCAAATGGTGATGCAACTTTATAGGAAAGCTATTATAAATATATTCTGACACTGCTACTCCCTCCCCCCATAAATGTCAGAAACTATGGAAAATTTTTGAAGAAAATGCTCTATTTCCCTTTGTCCTTCAGTTTCTACTGTATCTTTTTGTGTATGGATTAGAACCAAGCAAAGTAACATACAAAGATGTGCATATATCAGATCTTTATACTTATTCACAAAAAGCTCCTAATGTAAGGATTTAGAGAGTCTTCTCCTCTTAATGTATTGAATATATAGAGAGAAGAATGGAGTGTCTGGAAAAGGAAAAATGGTCCGGATAAACCTGAGATTTGGGGGAAAATTTGTTCTGAGTTGTACACATCGAAGGCTGTTTTGTTTAGTTACACTATTTTGGTTTCTTTGAGCAGGAAATTACTTTTGTGTGTGTGTGTATCTGTATATGCTTTTCTAGGTTTTAATTTTGAAGTGAATTCTTCCTGTGACTCCCTTTTTCCCCATACCTTTTCAAACTCTAGCCTGTTAAGTGGTAAGGATTGAAAATAGTGAATTTGAGTGAAGCAATGGATTTGAACTTTGGTGTGTTTTTTTTAACTTTCTATCTTCATTTAAAGTGATTTATATTGAATTCAGTTTTATCAGGCTACCAGCATTTTATTTATTCACTTAAAAAAACACATGTATTGAAAACCTGCTATTGCCAGGCAGCATCCAGAGTATTGGGATCTTTTGGGGGATCAGATCAGACAGAGTGTTTGCTGTCCTCATGGAGCTAGTGACAGTGGTGGGGAGGCAGTGGGAACAGCCCTTTGAGCCTCTGCAGCCTTACAGCCAGACTCTGTAAGAAAAAGGTTAATCCATTTGTGCAAATAGTGGCCCAGAAATCTCACTGTGGCATGCAACTTTGGGAAATGAATCCTTGCTCTGGGGTGTGCTGAGAGCAGATGACTGTTTTCATGGTCTACAAATTCATTCCCTACCTGTCACAGTTTGAGGTTTAATTATTCTTTAAGAAAAAAGGGGGAAAAAATCCAAAGACCATAAAAAGGTATTTGATTTTTGCCATTTTAGTAAATTGTTAATGCCTACTTGATGCTCATAAAGCTAAATCTAATCATGTTTTCGTGTGTGTTCCTAAACTTTGTTTTACCAGTATATTATTTTCTAAAGATTTTTTTCATATAAAGGTAGACCAAGATTTACTGGTAGAAAAAATCCAAAATGTTAAAAACTATTAGTATTGTAAATGTTATATATGCTACTGTGGTGAAAAGATTTTTATCAATCATGTTGCTACTCAGTATGGTTAGTTTGCCTTATGAATGTTGACTCTAGTAGTCTTGTTTTTCAATATCCTTTTTTTTTTTTAACAAAACAATCTTTTTTTGACACTAAGATTGTTAATTTTTAACGCCAGTTGGTGGCACTAGAAACCTGAAATTATTCAAGGCTCTGAACAAGAGAAAATAATTGAATCCAAATACGAAGAATTTTCAGGAAAATAAATGAAAAATATAATTGTATATTAAAGATGTATTTTCTGGGATGGAATCCTTTTTTAAAATGCATATGGCTGTCCATTTTGACTACAATGATGAAACTTGTTTATCTTCCAGAAGTTCATATATATATATATATATATATATATATATATATAAATATATATATATATATATGTGTGTGTGTGTGCATTGTACAGATAATCTTTAATTTGATTACACTGTTCATTTTGTAAATGTTTCTGTATAAAATGAAGCTTTTCAAGAAAACTCTATGTATATATTGTACTTATTAAATAGGTAATGCTTGTTTACCAAGTTGTATTTTAATAGCATCTTTGATTATTTATTTACATACACCACTTGCTAAACAGACTGATTCTCCAGACTGTTGGCAAGGCTGCTTCAGATTGCTTGAATTTTCTTTTTTAAACCACACTAGGAATTTTTGCTTTCTACAATTACCTTTATTATACCAATTATTATTAAAAGTCAATGAACAATAGCAAGCGGATTAAATTGAATGCCAGGTTCTATTCCAAATTTGTGTTTTAATTATTGCTAACAAAATTAGGCATTTTACAAAAGGCAGATTTTCACATGCCTGTTTTCACATAGGCTGTACTGATAAAGCCAGTAATATATTCACGTTTTTCCACAAAACTGTGTACTCACTCAAAAGATCTAGCTTTAATAATAAAGATTGAATGTGTTCAATAAAAAGATCAAAATGGCATTAATTTCATGAAGTCAGCATGTGTGGTAGCTATTTCATTTCACACTGTGTTGGTTTCTGTTCCTCTCCCAGTTCTGGTACAATTAAATTTTGCCACATACCTTAATGACTTCACTACTGGAAAGAATCCCCTAAAATCAGGATCCTCGTTATGAGGAGTAAAATTAATAGAATAGAGGAAACTTGCCTAACATCCTCGATAGTTTGCTTCTTGAGGGCCTATGGATTTGTTTGCAAGGAAAAGAATGTATCCAGGAAGAGAGGAAAACAGATACCCAACCACATGGGTTTTTTGTTTTTGTTTTTTTGTTTTGTTTTGTTTTGGCTTGTAGTTCTTAACTGGTCGGTGTGACCCTCAAGCATGAGATGGGAAAGACCATTCTACTGAACTTATATCTGTATCTGTTGTTTTTTTTTTTCTTAATAACCCTGCTCCAGTCAATGAATGTAGAACAAGTACACACTTCTTGAGTGCCAGAAGCTTAAGAGGATACCTCTCGCTGACAAGTGCCAGTGCTGTTTTAGAGATTCTCTGAGAACAATGTGAACCAATGTGAACAGACTTGATGTTCGTGCCCCTGTAGGTAGATGCACCCTTAATTCCTACATTATATGTAAGAGACTCGATTCTTGTTTTTCTTTCCTTTTTTTTTTTAACCATGCATTTAAGAAGTATTCTATTCCTAAGGAATTTTCAGCCTTATTTTACTTTTTGAATGCCCAAAGGCCATGCTGTTTGCCAGATTGACTGCCCTTAATTTGTACTCCCAAAAAAGGGAGGAATCTCTACCATTAATGCATTGCAAAAATAGTCCTATTGTCCATTTAGGATCCACTGAAATAAAAAATGTAGATTATTGATGATCAACTTCTAGTTGCAATAATTTGGGGAATATATTAAATACAGAAATGATTTTCCACATCATTTGATTGTAGTCTTTGTTTTTAATAAATAATGGCCTAAGGGCAGTAAGTAGTGTGTGTGTGTGTGTGTGTGTGTGTGTGTGTGTGTGTGTGTATCTTCAGCACCCTCCCACTTTGCTGGTCCCAGAAAATATCACTTAATCTTGCCATACTACCTGTTATTTCTTGGTTTCCTTTATGAGCTCTGACTAGGTGAGACAACCGGAAATGCCCATCACCGCTGTTACTCTTGCTGCAGATTTGAGCTGTTTCTGCCCAACCACATGGGAGAAACACTTTCAGTGGCTTATCTTCTACCAGAGCCCCTCTAGGTCTCAGCTCCCCAAAAACCAGGTCCAGTCCAAAAGCTGTCAAGCACAAATGCCACTGATGGATTTTATTATTTTTTTAAGATTTTATTTTTTAGAGGAAGAGGGCACAGTGGGGTGAGAGGCAGAGGGAGAAAGAAACTTCAGTACACTTCCCACTGAGTGCAGAGCTCATTGTGGGGCTCAATCCCAGGACCCTGAGATCATGACCTGAGCCAAAATTAGACACTTAACGGACTGAGCCACCCAGATACCCCCCACAAGAAACTCTTCTTGAGTATAGATAGCTCAAATACTGCTCCTAATGCAAACAATTTGTGTCTTGATAGAACTCAGGCTGTTTGCTGACGCTAAGACTAGTCCATTTTGCTCAGCAAGACACACATGTAAAGTCAATTCTTCATCCTTTCCTAGATAGTCTTCCTACCTTTGGATTAATTGAATATTTTGTATGATGCAATTATATCTCTACAGTTGGTTTCTGAGGCCTCATTTTAAAATGTTTTAGTGGTTGTCCTAGGGTTTACAAAATATCTTTAAAATATGAACTGCTTCATATATTTTTGAGTCCTCATTGTGCAGGGGCCATGCTCATCTTCTGTGACCCACATTTACTGTTGCCAAAGGGAACACCTTTTCTGTTTCTTCTGCCTACTTTAGCATAGGTGATAAAGCAGGAGAGACTGGTAGGCCTTTTAGAAGCACAGATTCCAGAGATGAAAGAGTGCTTCAAGAGAGAACATCCAGTCCCAGAGTTCCACAGACTAGTAAAATTTCAAAAACAAAATTCTGAGCTTACTGAGTTTTATTTGCTAAGTGAGGATCAAAAGGAATGGGCACTTACCAGCATCATATCATAAAAGACAAGATGTTTTATCACTAAAATAAAAAGTGGTTGAAAAGTTCAAACTTTGAAAGAGTATAGCTCTTTGAAACACTCTATTTGTTTTTCTCAGCTCTCTATAGCCTGGGTTGCAAACCCTCCCCTGCCCAGTGCAACTCCTCATTTGAAAATCAGAAAAAATGCCTTTGGGCCTGGAAGTGATTCGTTCACCAGATGTGACACCTCAGTAAAAGCCTCTTGCAGTTTCAGCCACTGTTGACTCTAATAGTGCCTGAAACACAGTTAATTTAATCCTCACACTGTCCTGGTTCTGTACCTACCTGGAACTAAATGAATTCAAGAAGTTCTGAAGGTGGAAGGTGTGTGGGCTCTTGATTTATTGCCTCTCAGATCCCAATGCATTTTTTAATATCTACTCTGTGATAAGAGAATTTCTTTAACCATTTCTCCCTGTAAGTAAGCATGGTGTTAAGTTTCCTCAGTAGAGGGCAATGGAGGCACATCACAGGAGGAAGAAGCTTCTGGAAATTTCTGGCAGAGACTGGGTTTCAGACTTGTGAGGACACCCCATGGACCCTGCCCCACCCATCCCTCTGCAACCTTTTAGCACTTGGTGATAACCTTCCTGCATGGAAGGTTCTCGACATGGAAACTAAAGTGACTACACACAGTCACTTGTGGTCCAGAGAGTCACCCACAGCATAGCCACTGCACTTCCACACCTGGCTGTCTGCACTTCGGAGGGCAGCCTGGTTACTGCTTGCCAAGCAACTCCAGACCAGCTCCAGGCTGGCCAAACCAGCTAACATCTCTGCTACCCGGTGGGCTGATCCACAGCTTCCCCCACAAGATCTGAACCGCTTCCAAGATTGTGCTTCCTCCGGTAGCCCCCTTCAGCCCTAGCATACCACGTAGACTTTTCTTATAATTACTCTTTTACCATAGGTCTTCAACTCTGTCTTCAACTCTGTCTTCAACTCTGGCTGAACCTCCCAGGTGGTGTCTTTCTCCTGACTGGACCCAGACTGCTACTGAAGGTGAGAGTGACGTCTGTGGTAGAACCTCCTGAAAAGGCACAAAGATAAGAGGTTGACCTCAGAAACCTAATGTTTATCACACCAAAGATATCATTGCTTCTACTATCATTTAACAATTCATACGGGATCATTATTTATATGCTATATGCAAAGCACCATGGGAGATAAGACAAGTCCCCTGCTTGGAACAAGATGATAAGGAACCAGCACCCTGAGATAGCACTGATGGTAGTGGGAAGAGGACAAGATTCCTGCTGGAAGAGACATCATCACTTGAGAAGGGCCTTCATGCATAGGTCACAACATATGGAAGGAAAACTAGAAAAGTCCAGATGGAAGAAGCCTCCATGCCTTTTTTGCTCGGGGTCCTGTAGGTGTCTCAGAGATGGTAACAGGAAACGTGTAGAAGGAATAGCTAGTGGTTCTGTTTGGCTAGCACTTCATCTGGATCATGTGCTTGGCACAGAAACAGTCTATTTTGCATTGCCAGCCTTTATCATGTTCAACCTTTATCAAGCAATGGTGAGACCCATAGGAATGGAAGGGACCTTAGGAAGGTATTTACCAACAGCCAGGCCATGAACAGCCTTGAATGTCACACAAAAGAAACTGAGTAACTGGGTTTGCCCAGTTGCTTCAATGGAAAGCCACAGGTTGGGGTCCCATCCACACTAACACATTGACTTCTCATTGTATTGACAGGTATAATAATAATACTTTCAGAAAAGTGCACATATCATAAATAATACAGCTTAATAAATTGCTAAACCAAACACAGCTATGCAATCAACACCCAGTGCTTTATTTTTCCTGATTGGATCCTGACTGATACACCCCAAACCCCTCCTCATGCTCCCAGTCATCACCCATCTTGGAAGGATGACTCTCCTAACTTCTAATAACATCGATTTATTTTACCCCGCTTTTTGGGACTCGATATGCATGTACCCATACAGGAGGTATTCTTTTGAGTCAACATTTTGTTTAAAAGATCATCCATGTTGTTGGGTATAGTTGCAGGTCATTTATTCCTTTTGCTGTGCAGTACTTCATTGTGTGGGTATATATCACAGTTTATCCAGACTAATATTGATGAGCTCTGGGGGAGTTTCCAGTTTGGGACTCCTAGGAACAAAGCTGCGATGATATTGTTGTACACGTCTCTGATAAAGCAAATGGATATATATTTAGTTCACATATGCCTGGCACTAGAATAATTGAGTCACAAGATACACACATGTCTATTTTTAGTAGGAACTACCCAATTTTCCCAACATGGTTGTACCATTTGTACACTCACTAGCTGTGCATAAGAGTCCCAGTTGCTCTATATCCTAGCAAACATTTATTTTGCACAGACATTAATTTTTTAAAAGATTTTATTTATTTGAGAGAGAGAGAGAACACGAGTTGGGGAGGGGGGCAGAGGGAGAGAGAGAAGCAGATTCCCCCCTGAGCAGGGAGCCTGATGCAGGACTTAA